TCTCTCTCTCTCTCTCTCTCTCTCTCTCTCTCTCTCTCTCTCTTTCTTGAGACAAGATCTCACTATGTAGTTTTGCTGGCCTTCAACTCACTATGTAGCTCAGGCTGGCCTCAAACTTGGGATGATCCTCCTGTTTCAGCCTCCCATGTGCTGAGATTACTGGCATGTGCCACCTAGCAGGTTGGGGCAGCATCCTTTTTCAACACTCTTCAACTCTTTTCCTACTTAAAACAAAACAACAACCTATTCACTACTAAATGATAAGCTCTGTGAAAGCAGCTATTGTACTTGTTTCCTCACTGCATTATCCTCACTCCCCACAAGTGTCTGGCACAAATTTGGCACTGAGAAAATGTTTGTTGACTGACTAGGTATTGGCACATGGAATATGTTTTTCCAGAAGTAATAGTGGCTCTTACCTCATCCCTCTTAAGAACAATAGCCATGACCTTGGATGATGGTCCACCATTTTAGAATTTCCCATGGTACCGTAGTTGGTTGCTGTAGAATAATCTTTAGAAATGGAAGAGGACAATGATAAGGTGCGTTTTGCTAGACACATTCAATAAGAATTACCAGAGAGGTGGGTTCTTGCTGCAACTGTACCTAACCTTGTGTTTTAGGAGCCTTTGGAGACTGCTTGTGAAAAGGAGAAGAGCTAGGGAAGGTTCAGAGATGCCAGCTGAAAAAGTAGACCTGGAATGCCTTAGGCTGTACTTGTTGGGAGGTTCTGGTCAGAGCTCAGAAGACCAGAATGATGATAGGAAAGCTGCCATCCTTGGGAGGTTTCTGCTGGGAAGAAAGACTGGATTGGCTGTTGGATTCCAGACAATGTGTGCTATGGCTTGGTAAAAAGCTTCTCTGCATTTTGCTCATGCCCAGAGACTGCCTGAGACTGATATTAAGGGTGGCAGACTAATTAATCTTGCAGAAGAAATTTCAAGGCAGTCTAATGTTGAGGTAGTAGCATGGATACTGTTAGGGGATTTTAGCCAGATTTGAGAATCAAGAGCAAAGAGCCCATTAAAATGATTAAAAACATTGCGAGTTTGACCAGAAAGTAAACTCCAGTAAAGTTGCAGCCTGAGAAGATGGAACAGAAGAAAAACTTGTTGCTCAAAAAACTAGCAAGGAAAAAAAAAAAAACCTAGCAAGAAAAAGCCAAATATTTCAGAAGAGGACATCACAAGAACGAACAGGACTCCAGCCTTTGCAGCCTCAGAGTTGCAAAGGTAAAAGAATTTGCTTTGAGAAGAGAACCCCATGGCTCTGTTCCAGAACGGCTGTGGCCTAGGGGAGTCAGTCCTTGGGATTTGGTTCATAGGCATTCCACCCCTACAGCCAAGAGAGAAGGAAGCCTGGCCACTGCTCCAGCTGGCAGCAGGCCTAGGCATCATCCATGTGGTGCTGGTTTTAGGTACATATAGAATACAAGAGCTATGGGGTCAGGAAGGCTTCCACCCAGATCTCAGAAGAAGGCCTGGGAGGCCAGGCAGCGTGCCCCAGAGAAGGCAGTGTGTGAAGCTCTGAGTATGAAACCAAAGGTGCAGTGGAGACCCCAGAAGTTTGGAGAAGTCAGGAGTGTGGATCATCTGAAGAAAACTGCAAGGAGGGTGCAGAGCCGGCCCAAGAGAGGAGCTGTGGGAGCTGCAACCGCTAGAAGTGCTGTAGGGGTGGAGCCCCCCAAGCCCTTGGGGTTCACATCTTGCCACAGACTGTCTTGGATTCCCGACATGAAACTGCAGGACTTAGTGATTGTCCCGCTAGATTTTGGTCTGGCTTTGTTCCCATTCCTTTCTATCCTTCTGTTTGTATTGTTTGGAATGGAAATGTCCATCTTTGCTATTGACTGTTGGAAGTGTTTAACTTTCTTTTCATTTGTATAAAGGCTCAAAGCTAAGAGTTTGCCTAAAATCTCAGAGGAGACTTTGAACTCAGACTTTCCAGAATGCTGAAAATGTTAGACTATGGCAACTCTTGAAGACGGATTATTATTATTATTATTATTTTGGCCTAAAGGGATGTGTATGAGCCTTAAGGGGGCCAGAGGTGGAATTTTATGGCTTGTGTCTAGATGTTCCCCCGAAGTCTCATGCAGTCATAGGTGGGACTGTGCAGTACTGGGACTAAAGGTGCTAGGATTGAGGGTGGGGATGATTAAATCAGTCCACTGATTGGTTTAGCATCATCTTAATTCCAGTAGCTGGGATACCATATAAGGGACAGAAAGTGGCTTGTCTGCTTTCTTGCTTGCTTTGCCACCTTCTTCCCACTGTAAACTGTTTCTCCTCTGTGTTGCCCCTCTGCCATGCCACCCTGCCTTGGAGCCAGCCAATTATGCACTGAGACTTCTACAAACTGAGCCAAATAAACCTTTCCTCCTTTAGGTGTTGAGTATTTTGTCTCAGCAATGAGAACCATATCTAAGACAGTCAGATGGTGATAACTGGTTAAGTGTTAGGGGAAACAAAGAAGCAGAGGTGTGCGATTTGGAAATGCTGGGTGGGGATGCATTGCTGCCCGAACAACTAGATACATAAGGGTTCGTACCCAAGGCATAGACAGTGGTGGTTAACCTGGTGGTGGTCTAAGCTTATGAGGAGTTATATTGAGCTTAACATGAGCTTCTCACATAATGCATTCTTCAGCAGGAAGCTCAAATGTATCATGTCCTGCAACAAATTATTCATCCATCCATCCATCCAATCATTCAATAAGCACTGAGTATTTAGTGCCATGCAATGAGGAAAATTATTTAAATAAACAATCACGGGTCAACTCTCTGTTACTATAACAAATAGCTGAGGTGGTCAACTTATGAAGAGAAAAGGTTATTTCCGCTCACTGTTTTAGTGCTGGAAATCTAACCCACATCCTAAGCAAGAGCTCTATCATGGAGCTGCACCCGCAGCCTGAAGGTGAGGTTTAGAAACACCAAATGCCTAAAAGTATCAGATTAGTTAATGGCAGAGTCCAAGATCAGGCAGATCCATTGCTTTGGGGCCTCTGGTAAGGCTCACAGATGGCAATGGAGGGGAGTGTATGGTGGAGAAAAACTGCTCACTTTATGGCCAAATTGCCAAAGAGAAAGGGGCCAGGGCCCCGCAGTCCCTGTGGAAGGGCACACTCCTAATGACCTAAAGACTTCTGCCTGGGCCCCACCCTTCAAGGTCCCACCACCTCCCAGTAGTGCCAAAGTTTCATTTAACACAAGGGCCTCAAGGGGCCGGGGATTTAGCTCAGTGGTTCTGCCCGCCTTGCAAGCGCAAGGACCTGAGATCAATCCCCGGTACCAAAAAAAAAAAACCCAAACAAACAAACAAACCAAAAAAACCCACAAGGGCCTCTGGGGAAATTCCAAATCAAAACTATAGCAAGAGCCCTGAGTGTTGAAGGCAAGGGAGGCTAGGGTTTTGCTTAGAGCACCCGGCACTTTGGCTTCCCTTTGCTTCCGTCCATGGTGATGTGAAGACCAGGGAAGGAGTTTTCCTGGCCAGAGGTCTCAAGCTCTCTCCTCGAGTCCTCCACGCGGAGATCTGGAGGCCAAGGGAGATAGTGTTGCTTGGACATAAACTCTTCAGAGCTAAAGACTTGGGTCCAAGTTCTGCCTCTGCCATTAACTAGTCTCACGCACTGAGTGATTTATTGTCTCTAAGCTTCAGTTTCAGAGGGTGAAGGTCCATGATAAAGCACTTTCTCAGCAAGCACAAGGCTCTGGGTCAGATCTTCAGCACTTCAAACAAATCGAAACACTCTATCCTTAACCTTAGTTTTTGTACCTATAAGATAGTATTTGTCCCATCTGCCCTTCATGTTATTTTGGAAACTATGAAACATATTATGTTATAAACATGTATTTTTTTTATTTTTCAGATAATGCTATATTTGGATAAAGTGCATCTCTGGAGACTCACAAATACATTGTCTTTGATCCTTCAATGTCTGTGTAAATTATTTAGAAATATTAATTACAAAGGAAGCTAAACAAATTAGTTGACCAGACCATAATTTTTTCTTTTGTACCAGGAATCAAACTCGGGTCCTTGCGCTTGTAAGGCAGGTGCCAGAACCACTGAGCTAAATCCCCTGCCCTAGACTATAAAATATTTGAGTCATATAAAACTTACATCTTCATTCATTCCATTCCAAGATTTAAAATTTAGTGTTTTGAGTATTAAGAATCATTAGATTCTGAATCATTAGTATTCTGAATCATTAGACACTTTCAAAGGTGAATTATCTAAAGTGTGTAGTGATCTCTGTACTGATCAAAAATGTCTAAGTATGAGTTTACTTTTGTTTCTGTGAGTCAGAGGAACATGGTGACTGGTCATACTGGTTAGGTTGAAAGTTGGTTGCCCAAGATAATGCCACCAATTGCTTAATTACATTAATTATTTGTCAGACATACAATTTTGATTATTTAAATAAGTGCATACTTGATAGGCAAAATAAGTTGCCCACAGTTAGAGATTTTTGTTATGTTTCATTTCCTTTCCCTAAAGTGAGCTTAGAATCATCTCGTGGCCAAACCATGTTGTCACCTAGGTCTCATTGCTTCTTGGTTAGCAGAATTTCACCTTTCAGCTCAGTGTGGGCTCCTTTTTGGAGTTAACAACATATCTATAAAGCAAGCACAGTGCTGCCTGACCTGGGACCCTGTGGATTCTTGGGATCTGTCTTTACATCAAGAAAAGACTAGTCTTTATTTGGATACTCTCTGCCTCTGTAGAAAGCTCAGATCCACGTGGGAAGGGATCTGGCCTACAGCCCTGCCTCAGCCACCATGGCCTGAGGGCACCCTTGGATGAAGGGAGAAAGAGCCAGACCTGGAACTGATCTTTGACTTCCCAAAAGACGGACGTCTCATTTCAAGGACAGAGAAGGGTTGCCAGCCACCAATTCATGGGCAGTGACAGAGATGAAACTCTGGATCCCATGGTTGGTGGCATGAATCCTCCTTGTCCCCTACCCTCCAGACACAGAGCCACACACACAGGGAGCATCCCTTGGCCTGGAAGGAGACACTGTCTTTATTACCCCAGACAGAGGGCACACCGCGCACCCAGAGGGGACTGTCCCCTTATTCCAGGCAGAGTCTGGAAGGAGCCCCAGTGCCTCTGCTCCCTAGATCTGCAGACACAGAGACTAGGGAGAAGTCTCTCAACACGAAGCAGCCCCCGCATGGATGATTAAATGTCATTTTATGTTTGGGCTCCATGCATCTGAGTCGCTGGTGACAAGCACCCAGGGAAAGTGCCTGGTTGTACACAATGACCTGCTTCCCTTACCTCCCTTTTCTGTAAGCCCAGCCTGTCTCCCCTCACACTCCACACCCCTCACCTCTCGCTTCATGGAACCACTCGTGGTCTCTGAATTTGTCTTCTTTTACCTATCCTTTACCCAATTTTGCCATAGGCAAGATTTGACTGAAAGAGAAGCTTCTCCAGGGAGGAAGGCTTCCTTCGTGCCCTCCAATCTGCCGCTGCAGCTTCTGCTCTGTCCGCTGTATGCCCCACAACAGACTTGGGCTAAAACCAGAACCTCCCAAGTGACAAAACAATATTTGGACTTTGATCCCACCTGCAAAGGCAGGAAGTCCGGCCACCCTCTCCCCCTGCAGGGCACAGGCTTCCTTGGTAAACACTGGGTGACCGGCTTTCCTCCTTTTCTGCCTGGCTTCCGGTCAGGCTATTGCTGGCTCCGGAGGCTTCCTTAGGCACCCGGGACCCCAGGAAAGGTGTCAGTCCCCTCTCCGCCATTGTTGCTGCAGCCACAGCCTGCTCCCCAAGAGAGTGGGGAGCTGCTCCCCTCTGTCCCTGCAATGGCAGAGGGCAGCCTGGCCATCAGGAACCCAGCATCCATCAGCCTGTGGCCGTCTACAGAAGGCCTCCGGGGTTTGGTTTGTTTGGTTGATTTTGGTACTGGGGATTGAACCCAAGTCCTTGGCACTGAGATGTGTCTCCAGCCCTTTTTTATTTTGAGATAGTGTCTTATTAAATCCCTAAATTGCTCAGGCTGGGCTCAAACCTGCAATTCGCCGGCCTGTCTCCCAGAATGCTAGGATCACAGGTGTGTACTGTCACACCTGTCTGAACTGAAGAGCCTGAGGCAATAGGTGGACTGTATTGCACCCAGAGGAAAGGGGTGTGGTGGGCAGGGTGAGGACAGGCTCACTCAAGTCTGCACTTTTCAGTGCTTCCTGCAGAACGGTGGAGAAGAGAAGTTGCAGGAGGAGGGTCAGAGACCGGAACGTTCAGTTCCCACGGCGACTTTCATCCTGCAGCTCTCCCCTCTGAGGCCCCTCATACTCACCTTCGAGGATGAGTGCTACAGGGTCAGAGCCACCCCATCCGAGGCTGTGTAACGGCAGCACAGTTCTTACACAAAGCAAGTCTTTCCCCCGGTCTCTCTCTTCCCTCCCCTCCTCCTCCTCCTCCTCCTCTCTCTCTTTTCTGGCACTGGGATCAAATCCAGGGCCTTGCACATGCTGCACAAGCACCCTACCATTGAGCTATATCCCCACCTCTTTGCATCTTTGAGACAGAGGCTCCACTAAGTCACCCAGCCTGGCCTTGAACTTGGCAGTCGTCTCGGCTTCCCCAAAGCTGGGGATACAGGCCACTGAGTTTCTGTGCGGGGTGGGACTGACCCGGGTCTGGCTGGTAGTTTGGTGCCCTCACCTGCCTTCTACTCAGAAGCCCATCCAGGAAGGTGCTCCAGGGAGAACTTTACTTTCTTATCTTTCTGGAGCACTTTTTCCCTGGCAGTTTTTTGTCCGAGGAGAATGAAATCTTTTGGTCCCTTAATTCCACGGATCATTTCCTTTAAATCTCATTTGCTTCTTTGTTCTATTTATTTTTGTCATTATTTTTAGGATTAGAATGCACACTACACCCCATGACACTCATTTGATCTCTTTCGGCCATAGCAGAGAAGATGGCACCACCATTTATCAGTCGTGCTGTGGAGATGTGGAATGAAATCTTTACCAAATTATGTGTGCAAATAAGTGAAATACTTTGCCCCCAAATATAAAGGATTGTTGAGCCGAAGACAATCCAAATGCAGGGAGCTCTCTGTTCCCATTTGCCTCATGAGGGGACAGAGATTCACAAAGACAGACCAACTCTCTCTCTCTCTCTCTCTCTCTCTCTCTCTCTCTCGCTATCTGTCTTTCCTGCCTAAACCTGGAGATAACCCTCCTGCCTCAGCCTCCCAGAGCCCTAGGATTACAGGTGTTTGGATGCACAGATTCTTTACAGTGCTTGCTTATTAGTTCAGGATAGTGGCACCAGAGGAATCTGTGAGGGGACTTTCTGCTCATGAACTTATCTTCTGAGTTTTTCTGCTTCTGAAGCCTAGGACTGCTCCCTCTTGTCATTTCTCTAGAATGTATTCTTTGTTGAAATACTCTTTAAGGCAGATCCTAACTGGCTGACGTGAGTGACATTTCTCCCATGTGATGTCCACTGCAAGTGTTAATAAACTTGCTTTTTCTCTTATAATCTACCTTTGCTATAGGAGTCTGTCTCAACTACATTTGTGAATTGAAGAAAATTTTATTTTATCTCTCTTACCTTTCAGATTCCTAGATAACCAATACTTTTTCCTTAGGATAAAATAAATTTTGTTTTACTACCAATCCCTAAAATTTGTCCTTTTATAGTTTAAGGAAACATTAATTAGATATGTATGACACTGGCAACAAAATACATTGGTGGGCTTTCATAAGGTTTCTACTTTATTTTGGAGATCCCTGGGAACATTGTTCTGTGAAAGTTTTCCTAGGTTGGACAGGTATTTTAGAACAGACAGAGTGATTTCGATTTTATTCTCCTAGAGGCACTGGGATAGATCGGGTGAACTTTAAATAGCCCTTTCAGATGTGTGACCCCCCTTCCTCCCAGAAAAAATCTCTATTGAGTAACGAGTACCACTATAAAACGTTTCTCCATCTTCTACTTGTCTTTAGTTTTACTTTTAACCTCCTTCTTTACCCCCAGCCCTGAAAGTCCCATCAGAGGTTGGGAAGGGACAGGAAGATGTCAGAACAGCAATGATTGCAACACACACCATCCTAGTTTGTGTCAGTGTCAAGGTAATGGCTGAGTTTGAGTTCTTCAGAGAAACAGAAGCAATTCTGTGCATGTGGGCAGAGGAGAGAATTGACTCACTGTTGTGAAGGCTGGCAAGTCCAAACTCTGCAGGGTAGCGAGGCCGGTGGACTAGACTCCAAGAAAGAACTGGTACTGCAGCTGGAGGGCCAGGCAGTCGGCTGGCAGACTTTCTTCCTGCTTGGGGAGGTCAGTCTCTCTCCATCTGAGGCCTCCAGCAGATTAGATGAGGTAGTCTCAGCTGTGGGAAGCAATCTGCTTTCCTCATAGTCCACTAATTTAAGTGTTAATCTAATTGAAAACACATCTTGCCGGGTGTGGTGGCGCATGCCTGTAATCCCAGCCCTCTCGGGAGGCTGAGGCAGGAGGATCGCTGTGAGTTCGAGACCAGCCTGGGCTACATAGTGAGTTCCAGGTCAGTCTCAACTACATAGTGAGACCCTGTCTCAACAAAACCACACACAAAAAAAAACAAAACAAAAAACAAAAACACCCCCCCGAAAAGACATCTTCACTGAAACCTCTAGAATGTTTGACCAAATAGATTTCTGTAGCCCAACCCAAGTTGACATAAAATTAACTGTCACAGAAGCTGTCCCCCAAAATAGCCGTTTATCTTACTGGGATTGTGGGTCATCCAAAGGACCTGGGTCAATGGCCATGATTCCCACTTCTTTACTCCCTAAATCCCTCTACAGTGGATCTGGTGGAGTGTGGTCTTAAATGCACTGTAGAACCAGGGAGAAGAGGGGACCCCACAAGAATCCAACTTGGGTGTCCACAGGGATACCTTGGAAGGCTTCTGGGTAAACAGGTAAAGACCAAGGCCGGAGGAACTGTGAGAAATACCACGGATACTTCAAGTGGACCCAAGATAAGAAAGGTAGAAGTAGCAGAAGGTTCAAGTGGCATTTGCAGATCGAATCTCTCCACAGGAGGCCAATTTCAAGCTTGTGTTAAAATGGACTTTCTCAGGCCAAGTGTGGTGGCTCACGCCTGTAATCCCAGCACTCGGGAGGCTGAGGCAGGAGGATCACTATGAGTTTGAGACCAGCCTGGACTACATAGTGAGTTCCAGGTCAGTCTCAACTACATAGTGAGACTCTGTCTTAAAAAACAAAAAACCAAATGAACAAAAAAAATGGACCTTCTCTGACGGTGCATGTCCACTCTCCAGTAAATATCTGTCTGGTGACAGCACCATGTTGATGAGCTTTGTCTTGGCAGTGGTGGCGTAGAGCTCCATACAGAGGGACCTCGGGGGATGGGATGAATGCAGAGCTCTTGAACTGTAGGGACCAGGGGGAAGATTTCTGTTTTGTACAAGTTTGTCAGATACCATTTCACAGGCTTAATCTTGCATCTAATTCCAAAGTTGTGTTCTTTCTAGCCAATTAATTCATGATTTTTCCTGTGAGTCCCCAACAAGAGGTCGTTTTAAATGAAAGGACTATTAAGTAGGCAGTGAACTGTGGCTCCTGAAGAACAAATAGGCCGAAGCACCCCAGCTAAGTTGAGCTGACATCTATTTTTTTCTTCTGACATGATTTATACAATTTCAAACCATTTCCTTCACAATATGTTGTATGGAGTGGACTGGATTCCACCTTTTAGCTGAGGGGAAAGGCTATACAGAATGATCTGTTTTCAAGCCAAGAGAGTTTACTCCTATGTCTCAACATGAGAAAATAGCTGACCCATGTTTAGCATATTTATAGACCAAAGGAGTCTATGTATCTCAAAAACATGGTGAGAAGCAAATAATATCTAATATGTATTCCAGATAGATCGGAAGATGAAATATTTGACATTTTCAATTGTGGTCAGGCTTATTGCCATTTGGCTATCTTCTGAAGTGTAAACTGAGGGTAAATCATGTCTTATCCCTCTTGTAACCCACAGTCCTTGACTTACAGAGCCGCCCAATAACTGATGGTTAAGGATGAGGCTCAAGTGTCAGCAGTAACAATGCACGAGGAAACTTTAACAGTTTCAGTATAGCTGGACAGAATCAAACCCTGTTCTGTCTACAATTATTCAACTGCAAGTAAGGTAGGTACATTCAAAATTAAGTTGGAGATTATAATTGGTATTTAGAATCAAATTTGAAGACTTTCTCGATAAAATAGAAACAAGGTCTCTTGATTACAAATGACACCATCAGTTGGTGGAGAGCTGGACATATTAACCACTCCTACACAGATGAAGAAATAAGAGACAAAGTCTCTTGCACTGAAGTATATATGTTACACATACTTTCACATTTTTATATGTATTCACAGGGAGTTTTATGTGTTTTAACAGCTTTACATTCCTATAAAAACTTTAAAATGCTTTTCTTCAATTCAAAAATCTGAGGAATTAAAAAGGCAATCAAGTAATCAATAATCAAAGCTTTTGTAGGTTCTGAATGATTTTTCCTTCTTTCTGCAGAATCCTTAAAAGTTATGGCACTTAAATTTCTTTAGCTTTTCTACTTACGGGGAGGTGAATTATACACACCAATGATGAAAACAGACCAAGACCACTTTCTATTATCAATCATCCCAGCTTTGTTCAATGGCTGAAACTCTTCTCACACTCTCATTTGTTTTCCTGATAAAGCTGGGCTAACTGGCTGCTGGTTGGATTGCGTGGATTTAGTTTATCCAGCAAAGATGACGTTGATGCTAGGAGATACATCGCACGCTGGGCTCCATAAATTCTGAAGGCTATCCAAATATATGCTCCCATCAGCACGCACGTTTGGATGAAACATTTTGGATAAAAGCCTAACAGCTCACAGTTTATTTGGATACTCTACAGAAAATTCTATTACCAGTTTGAAAATGCCATCTCCAGGGAGTCCCCTCTGGTTAGACATAACTGCATTGCAGGCACAACGTTGTTTTCAGATAGTGCATCACTGACGCTCACAACTGCCTGAAATCACATGAGCCTCCTCTGTATGGATGGGGTTGACACGCTCTGGAGCCCTGCAATTGGTTGGAAAGAAGAGTCTCAGGCTGGGGATGTAGCTCAGTGGTTCCGCCACCTGCCTCACAAGCACAAGACATCTCGATCCCCAGTACCAAAAAAAAAAAACGCCCATGGTACACTCCTAAATATGTCTTGAAGTGTTGTAGAGGTGTGGCTGTGGGGTCTTCCTCTCCGGCATGGTTCCTCTGTTTTGCTTTTCTGCCACCATGAACTGAGCATCTTTTCTCCACCGTGAGCTAACACCATGACGATCCCGCTTTGGAGCCTGTGGATTAAGGACCGAATCCCCTCAAATCATGAGCCAAACATAAGAACTAATCTGGAAAGACAGTGTGCATCTAAATAAAAAAAATCCACAGTAAAAGCCACATTACCACTACTCCCCCTCAAGACATTCCCTCGTTTCAAACACACTTATCTCAACGTTCTTGCCAGGTTCAGGAGCAGTCCTGAAAACCCTTTTGCCTTTTCACGGCTGCCCCGATGTCCTGAATTGATCTGAAACATTTACATCCACTTCAGTTAAATAAAAATACCACTGTGTGTTCTCGTCCGCCTTATTCATGACACATGGCACCATGCCAACCGTTCAAGCTCTTTGTCGAAGTCAAAATGACCATGAACAGTAAAGGTTTTGAATTGTTTCAGGGCATGGAAGCACACACCATGGTGCAATAAAAAATGCTCAGGAAAGAAGACTTGCAGAACTGCTTTAGAAAGGGGCAAGGAGGATGGGATGTGCTCAAAGCAAGGGGAGGATTCTGAGAGGGATTAATGTCTGTGGATTTTACTGTAATGTAATTTTATTTAAATATTCACCACGCTTTTAGATCAGACCTCACCACTTCTCCTTTTAAGTCCGGCCGGGTATTGTATCCTTGCAATGGGAAAGCTAGCAGAATAACTGTTTATGGGATATACACAACAAACAATAGGTGGTTAAATGAGGAAAATGGCCCGACACTTTCGAGGGCCAGGATCGCATCTCCCTGGGGTGATTGGACAAGGGGAAGCCATTTACATCCTATCTTTATAGATTCAAAGATGAGAGTTTGAGCAAGGGGATGTAGGCAACAAGGTGGTAGAAAAGAGGGAAAGGAAGAGTTGAGGGAAAGCTCACGAGGCTGGTTTTAACATAACCTCTTGGTAGATGTAGGAATTTTGTCTATCATTCCTAAATGATACAGATGGGCAGCTATGTCACCCACCTCACTGCTATAGTTTGGGTCTTAAATGTCCCCGGGGCCCATGTGTGGGAGACCTGGTCCCCAGCCTGTGGTGCTGTGGGAAAGTGAAGAGGTGGAGGGGAGGGGAGGCTTCAGGTCAGTCTCTTCCTCTCTTGCATCCACGCAGTGACTTCGTTGCACTACGCACTCTTCAGCACGATGTGCTACCTCACCCAGCACTCATCTACTGGAACCTCTGAGACCATGAGGCGAAATTAACCTTCTCTTGACATGCTGATCATCTCAGGTGTCTTGTCAGAAAAACAGAAAGCTATGTAACACACTCATGAAGTACCCTATTCTGTTTAAGTTGCTTTGGATTGGACAATGAGCCCTAGCACTAGTTTGGGTTCTTCTATACATGAATTCATTTGGAAGTATCTATTGAAGATCTGTCATATCAAATTGCTTTCTTAGGAAGCTGCGTTTTCCTCTTCAGTAGTTTTTCCAGCATTGGCTGCGTGTGTCAACTGACCCTGTCGAGTTGACTGGATGACGAGACTCTTGAGAGCTGACTGGATCACGGCCGCCGCACTCAGTGGATGAACCCACCGCGGTTTACAGCTGACTGTGCCGTCAGGGGTGGGCACAGTTGAGGTGGGCCCGGGGCACGCGTCTGGACAGCGTAGCTCTCACTGCCGCTTCTCGGCCACCATGAAGTGAGTAGCTTTGCCCACCAGGCCCTTCTGCCATGATGTTCCTGCCTTGAAGCCAGCGAGCCATGGACTAAACCTCTGAAAAAAGAACCCAAATAAACCACACCCTCCCCTTCAAGCCTGGATGTTAGGTTTTGGTCCCAGTGTTAGATGCTCAAGGGTTTGATCACAACACCTGGTAATATTTATGCACACTTCACCGTCCTGTCCTCTCCAGCTTGGCTGTGGCACAATGGCTCTCACAAAGGTAGGTGGAAAGATGAAGGACCTTTCTGCCATCAATGACGTAGTGGCCCAAGAATATATCATCAACGTTTACTGACAAATTCATCTATGGAGCAGGTGTCAGTAATCAACACCCCCTCAGGGACTCAAAGAGATCTGGAGATTTGTTATGAAGGGAATGGAAACCCCAGATACGACCGTCAATACTGGGGTCCACAGCGCTGCCCAGGCCAAAGGAATAAGGAATGTCCCACACGGTCGCCCTGCACCACTGTCCAGAAAAGGTAACGAGGGTGAAGATTCACCACACAGCTCTGTACTCTGGTCATCTACGTTCCTCTTAACACTTTGGAAAATCTACAGTCAATATGAATGAAGACTGACCACTAATTATCAAAGAACGTTTTAAAACCCTGAAAAAAATTTTACCATTTTGACCATTTCAGTGGCATTGAGTGCATTTGTCTGATCTGCAAAACCATTTTTTACAGTTAAGATTTAAAAAATGTAAAAACGTAAAATATTATTGCCTACAAGAAAAGTCAGATATTTTCAGTAAAGCCATTTATATTTCTAAAACGTGATAGTATGCAGGCTGGAACTTCAAATCATTTTATCAACTAAATTTTTAGGCCTGGTGATATAACGATTATATAGAGTGGCTGCCTAACTCAAAATGTAAGATCAGAGTGAAAACTTTGTATATGTTTCCCTTAAAGAAAAATAATTGAAAGTATTAAACGTTCAGTTTTACAAGATTTCTGATAGTGCCAGAAACTACAGTGGCTCTTCGGTTCTTGAACTCAATTCATTCCATGATTCTGGAAAAGAGTTGCCGCATCTGTCGGTGCAGGAAAGATGGCCACAGTCACCTTCGTCACCCCGATGCCAAGTTGGCAAACAAAAAAAAAATTCTGCCAAATACTTCTGTTTGTGAGCCAGACTGCTTGCTAAAGAAAGTGCTCACAAGCTGAGGTGCTGCTGCAGATGCGCTGTGCAGACCGGTTAGAGCCCACGGAAGCAGAACTCACAGAAGACCAAACTTGAGCCTCCTCCCTCCTCGTGATGGCACTGTGGCCCCTGGCCTGCAGGAGCTTCCCTTCCTAGAAGCAATGGCTGTGCTTCAGACGGTGGCTCTGCTTAGTGGGGAAAGGCAGGAAGCATGAAGTTAGCATTTTCCAAATCTCCTGCCGGGACCTGGCTAACAGAATAGCAGCACCGGGAGAGAGTCAGAACCTAACCTCGATTCAGGACCCCAGCCCAGTTTGAGTCCCCCTCCTCGTCATCGTTATTTCTATGAGGAATACTTCTCTATCCCTATGCACAGTTCAGGTTCTTAATCAGAACATTTGTTTTTCTTAAATGCTGCTGACCTCGCTCTGTGATGCATGGCTTTGAAGCTACTTCTGGATCAGATGCCGAAGCCTGGGAAACAGTTTCAGCGCATTCTCTGTGGTCACTTGGATAACTTCTTCCACTGAGATCCCTTTCACTTGAGCAACGTATTCTGCAGAGATGGAAATGTTGCAGGGTTCATTTCGTACCTGAAACAAAAAAGCAGACACTAATTCAGATGTGACACTGAAGGGAAGAGGATCTCTGGAGACGATGGCTAAAGCCGAAGAAAAGGATCAAGGTGGGGGTGGGGGTAATGGATGCAAAGTTGATTCAAAGTCTATGTTGCCCCTGAAAAGAACTCAGGGGATCAATACTTGCACTGAAAGAAATAAAACCTCATTATAACATGCCAATTAAAATAAAAATGAATATGTATGGATCACCTACTATATATCAGCCACTGCTATGCACGTTCACATACATTACTTCACGCAATCTTTAAAGCACTTTATTACTTAACCCACGTTTTGTAAAAGAAAGAAGAGTCTTAGAGAGATTTAGTTTGGTTAAAATCAACAGTGGATAAGAAACAGAGTCTAAGTTTTTCTTTCTTTCTTTTTTTTGGTGGGGTACTGGGAATTGAAATCAGGTCCTTGCGCTTGCAAGGCAGGCCACTGAACCACTGAGCTAAATCCCTGGCCCCTAAGTCTTTCTGATTTCAGACACTGTACTTGTTTTTGTTTTTTTGAGACAAGCTCTTACCATGTAGTCCAGGCTGGCCTCGAATTCACTATGTAGGCCAGGCTGGTCTTGAACTTGTGGAAATTCTCCTGCCTCAGCCTCCCGAGTTCTGGGAAGACACTGTGCTTTTTAACTACACTCTTATTATTACATAAATTAGGATGGGCTGCTTATTAAATATCAAATAATATTCTTGGCAATACAATAGCTCTATTTAAGAGAAAAAACTCAATATGAACCTCAACCTCGCATTATGATTCCACTGTGCTTACACTACACTGCGCTGGCCAACACAGATAAATGAAAATAACTCAAAACGAAAGATACAGTCTAAGAAATGTAGAAATTTAAAAAGTCACATACCCGTTTTTCTGGTCCTAGTGCAGGTGAATCTGTTTCTAAACAGATAGATGTCAAAGGCAACTGTTTCACCAGTTTCTGCTTCTTAAAGAAAAGAGAAAGCCAGTTAAGTTTAAAAGCTGAGGACATGACAGCCTACATGCTAATGCATTTGATCCTGTAAGAATCTAAAATTCATGTTTCATATTTAATTGATCAATGCTATCCAGGTGCCTAATAGTTATGTTAAAATATAAATACTCATTTCTAAAAAATATCCAAAGCTTCCAGAGAACCAAAAATAACCATAGCAAAAACGAAGTACACCCAACAAGAAATCCAGACATCTGCTATCAAATGCCCACTGGAAGATCCAAGGAGTTCTGTCATCCCCGACCAATTTCACTCAACTTCTTTCTACCATTCTCTTTAAGTCACTCAAGGTTTTAGGTATATAAATCTAAAGTTGTTTTGCACACCTCAATTTTAGATTGGGTGGTGGATGTTTTTATTTATTTTATAATTCTTAAAGTATGAATTGTAAGGACTTCAGTGAGTTCAATCAGTTTACGCCAAGAACACAACTGTTTTGCTGACACTGCACTTGAAAAAATGGGAAGGGGTACACATGATGCCTAGTGGAACATTGTTAAAATTACTTAAGATTATACTTCAAAAGCACACAAATGAGTATTCTCATGTGCTGTTGATAAAGGTTAAATTGCTACGAATTTCCTTGAAGGAAATGTGACCAGTTAGATCAGAATTTTAGAAATATATACTCAGTGCTGGGCATGGAGGCACAAGTCTGTAATCCCCACTCGGGAGGCTGAGGGAGGAGGATCTCCTCCAGTTCAAGGCCAGCCTGGGCTACATAGTGATATGGTCTCAAAAAAAAAGCCAGGAATTTAGCTCAGTGGTTCTGCTGCCTACCTTGCTTCAATCCCCAGTATCAATAAATAAATAATTAATTAATTAAAATAATAAAATAAAAATTATATATATACTCAGTGATTTCATTTATAGAAGATAACTGGTCATTGTGCCTATATATTTGTGTGTGTTACAAACCTTGTTTATAACAGAAAAAAGTGGGAAAAAATCCAATCTTTTTTTAAGGTAATATTTAAATTATGGTATATCTACACTGTGATTCAGTAATCCCACTTCAGGTAATAATTTGAGAGAAATGCAAATACATGTCCAAAGGCCTGCATGGATATGTTTGTGGCAGCTCTTTTCCTGATAGTGTCAAGCTGGAAACAATCCAAATGTCCATCAGCTGGTGTGTGCGTAAACAGTGGTACACCCACATATCTGTTACCCAGCAATCAAAATTAAACGGACTACTTATACACGCAAGAGCACACATAGGTCTCAAATCATTAAGTGAAAGAAACCAGATCACAGAACACACAAAAATGCTTTCATTTACATAATGTCCAAAAATGCAACACTATAGGAGCAGGAATCCGAATGGTTGCCAGAGACCAACGGTGGAAGGAGTGGACCAGAAAGGTGTGCAGGGCGGCTTTGAGGATGACAGAAATGCTCTGCATCTAGGATGTGGTGGTGTTCGTGGCAGTACACAATTGTCAGAACAGAACCACACACCTAAAAGGGGCGAGTCACCGTGGATATGGCCTTCAACATATCTGCTTTAAAAATTATAATTTAAAAACAACTAAAAAGATAAATGGTTGCTAATGAAGATGTTTTTTAAATTTGGCCCGTGTTTCCATTCTGCACTCTGAAATACACTGGTTTTTCAATACTGACAGACCACTTACTGTACTGCCTAGAACCTTAAATCACTGTAACATGCACAGTTTCACAGACGAGGGCCAGAGGTTTAGCTCAGTGGTTCTGCCACCTGCCTCGCAAGCGTAAGGTCCCAAGTTTGATTCCCGGTACCAAAATAACAAACAAACAAACAAACAAACAAATTTCACAGACAAAATACAAAAAAGTGATTGTTCTAAAATTGATGATATACAGTAAATTATGTTTTCTGAGCTATAATTCACGTACCATATCTAACCATTGGAATGTATAATTCAATGTTTTCACTACACGCACAAGGCTACACAGATGTGGTCGTCACCCCCAAAAGAAACTCTCTACCCATTGGCAGTCACTCTCCCTTCTTCTCCCCTCCAGTCCCTGGAAACCACTGATCCACTTTATCTCTGGGATTTGCCTAGCCGGGGTATTTTGTATAAATGGAATCATACCACACCTGGCCTTGTCTGTCCGGCTGCCTTCTCTTACCATCGTGTTGTAGTATGACTTGGCAGTTCATTCCTCTTTATGACAGGACAGTATTCCACTGTACGGTGTATCATATTTTGCTTGCCTATTCATTAGATGAAGGACATTGTTTTGGCTATTATGAACAATGCTGCTATAAATATTTATGTGAGCATATTTTCCTTTCTTTTGGGTATTCTAAGTGGGGAAATGCTGGGTCCCATGATAATTCTGTATTTAACTTTTTGAGGAACTACCAAATTGGGTGGGGTATGAAGTGGTATCTAAACACTTTTTTTTTTCTTTTGGGTACTGGGGATTGAACCCGTGACCTTGTACTTGTGAGGCAGGTGCGGTGCCACTAAGCGAAATCCCTAGCCCTGTTTATTTGTTTTGAGACAGGGTCTTGCTACGTAGTTCAGGCTGGCCTAGAATTCACAGTGATTCTGCTGCCTCAGCCTCTGGAGTGCTGGGACTACAGGCATGCACTACCACACCTGGATTTAATATGCTTTTGATCTGCATTTCTGTAACAAAAAATGAGGTTGTACATTTTTTTCCATTAAGTTTACTGGTACATTTTAGGTATACAATAAAGTTACATTCATCATTAGGATCTTGTACCTTTGCATGGTGTATCTTGGTTATTTTTTCCCCACTCCCCTGCCCTGTCACCCCCACCTTCTTTATTTTCCATTTCTCATATTTTTTCTTTTTCCTTCTTTCCTTTCCCCTACCCCTCCCACTTCCCCTACTCCTTTACACATTTTCTTCCTATTTCACAATATCAATTATACATTTTGATCCTTACAATTTTAGTTTTTCACACCACAGAAACTATTCAGTATTTACATATAGGTGTCCTATTTATTTCACTTAAGAGTATGGTGTCAACGTGGATCCATATAGCTATAACTGTCTCTAGTTTCTCATTCTTTATGGCTGAGTAGTACTCTACTGTGTAGAAAAGCCACATCTTCTTTATCCAGTCTCCAGGTGATGGGCAATTGGGCTGTTCCCAAGTTTTAGCTATTACAAAATGCCGCTGTTACATGGGTGAGCATATACTGCATTTACTTAAACATGTTCTACAAGCTAGTATGTGGTCTATTTTGGAGAATGACCCATGTGCAGCCGAAAAAAATGTATATTCTGATTTAGAGGGTGGACCACTCTGTAGATGTCTACTAAGTCCACTGAGGTTGCACATTTTTTACATGTTTATTGCCTATTTGTATCTTTCTTTCCTTGGTATTTTGAGATAGGGCCTCACTATACAGCCTTGGCCGGCCTTAAACTCACTGGAATCCTCTTGCCTCAGCCTCTCAAGTGCAGGGATTATGGGCATGTACCACTGTGCCCAGCGATGGAACTTAGGACCTAGTGCTTGCAAGGCAGGCAGTGGCACCAGTGAGCTAAATCCCCAGCCCCCAGCCTATTTTCTTAAGAGAAGTATCTCCTTAAATCTTTTGCCCTTTTTAATCAAGTTATATATTTGCTTCATTATTGAATTGTAATGATGCTTTATATATTTTGGATATTTAACCCTTATTGACTACATGATTTCCAAATATTTTTTCACTTTCTGTGGATTGTCTTTTTGTTTTGATAGTGTGTACTGAAGTATAAACGTCTTTTTAAAAATTTCAGATGTTTTAAATTTAGATGATAACCGACTTAGCCATGTTTTTCTTTGGTTGCTTGGGTTTTGGTGTCATATTTGGGAAAATATTACCTTATCTTAGGTCAAAAAATGTAGGCCTGTTTTCTTCTGGGTTTTTAAATTTTAGCTCTTATATTTAGGTTCTTGATAGTTTTAGTTAATATGTGTGGGATAGTGATCTAAGATTAATTATTCTAATGAAACAAGAGTAGTATCACAAGTATGCTGTCAAAGCTTATATTTTAAATTATATTTCTCAAAGAGTTAGCTACATTTTAATGAGAACCTACCTGCCCACTCCTTATGATAGATGGTGGAATTGAGAAGAAGTACCCAGCTCTTACGCCCTCCATGGCTACAGACGGTCGACCATCAAATGCATGCAGCAGTACCCTGTCAGCATCTCCCAAAATTCAAGAGAAATCAGAGTCCATTTTATGTCCTTAACAAGAGGCTTTCCACTTACTTAAACTGAACAGAGATCTGTCATTTTAAATAAATTTGGACACAACGATAAAGATGAAATTCTATGATAAATATCATAGAGATAGATAAGGATACAGTTTTCAAAGAGTAGAATAATAAGAGGTTTTTAGGCAAATTGATTTTCCCAACAAAAATGCTAGTGGAAGAAGAAATGGAAAATTAAATGACTAATAAATTAAGAACCCAGAGTTGGATTCACAAAACCAACTTCAGTTCTGAAAGGAGAGTTGTTTACCCTGTATAAAAATTACACTTTCAGAAGGGTTCAGTATTCATTACTGAGAAATACAGTGCTTTCTAGTAGCAGGTAACTATTTTTACTCCATTCTTTTACAGCATTTTAAAAAACGATAAGCATGACCATTAGTAGGTTATGATACTATGAATTGTGAAACCAACTTAGTCAACTTAGGTCATAAGCAACCACTGTGTGCTTTTATATACATGGATGCCTACACTTAAACTTGCCTATACACATGTACACAATTATATACTGCTTGCAAAACTTCGGTCAGTATTATTTACATGTGGTATCTCAAATATATTTCTTACTGTGGATGGCATTTTAAAAAGTGTGATAAATAACACTGTAGGATATCTTTAGGAACTACTGGTGAAGATCATGGTGTGTTTTATATACGATGGCAACAATATGTACAATGCCATTTTCTGAAGGAACAACCAGGAAACACACAAAACAGCAGCCCAATGTGATTGCCCTTCTCTCACTTTTCTTTTTTCTTTAACAAGTTGATTAAAGAATCAAAGCTCCGGATTTTTAAGTGAAGGAATATAAACTGATTCATCTCACTTGCTCTGGCCTTACTTGATAAAGATCATAAGTGTGTTGGGGACCTTGCGAAAGTAGCTGGATTTGCAAAATCACCTCACTCATTGCCACTTCCATTCTTGCCCCATTCCTTTCCCTTTAAGAAATCAAATGAAAACATGGCTTGCACCATGAGAACATGAACTGGCACTGTCAAACAGAAACATCAGCACAATCCTTTCAGAGCTAAATACCTTGCTCGCGTAGGAGGTTGATGGTAGGTCTCCCAGCGGAGCGTGAGTGAACATTTCTGTTTAACAACAAAATTCCTTTGAATACTTAAAGTTTAAGTGTTATTTCTGTTCTATAAAATAATTCAGAGAAAAGAATGATGTAGAGCTCCATTTTAGGAGGATTCTTAGATCATTATTAACTTGATCTATCACTATTATTAATTATTATGATTATTATTTTGGTACCGGGGATCGCTCTCAGGCCCTTGCACTTGCAAGGCAGTGGAACCACTGAGCCAAATCCCAAGCCCTATTGCTATTATTGTAAAAGATTATTAATTAACCCACAAAGGCAAATTTAGCCTTTTGGCTAACTGGATCTGTCTGATTAGGACTTGTCTTTGCTCTTCCTTCTGTTCATCAGTGCCAGCAAATCTGGGAGAGAAATCCAGCCCAACCTACAGCAGAAAAACAAAACAATTACATATTTATGGTTTAGTGAGCTCCAAAAGAGGTACTATGAGTCAATGCTGTAGCTATAGGAAAAATATTGACAAAAATAAGTGAAATTACCTTTAATAATATACATTAACCCAATGAATTAAAAACATTACTTTAACATATAATCAATGTAAAAAATGAGTTATTTATATATGTGTATTCACACACACATACAGATTTTTCTTGTACTAAGACTTTTTTTGTTGTTGTTAGTTTTTTGAGACGCGGTTTCAGTGTGTAGTTCAGGCTGCTCTTGAATTCACTGCGTAGCCCACACTGGCCTTGAACTCATGGCGATCCTCTGGCCTCAGCCTCCCCAGTGCTGGGGTTATAGGAGTGTGCCACGATGCTCAGCTTGTACTAAAACTTTGAACCCACCATGTGTTTTATACTTACAGCACATCTCCATTCCAAGCAGGCACATTTTAAGTGTGCCAGAGGCACATGTGGTCACCACACTGGACAGCACCAATTCATGACTGCTTCCTTGGACACTATTTTGGCCTGTATTCCATAACTTATATTCTGAATTTATGTGTTATCCTTACCTTTTATGTTTAATAAGAAATGAAATTTATTGCTGATACATTACCATTACAAATTATTTAAATAAAAAGTTCTTTGTTATAAATTCTAGAGTATATTTAAAGTATGCTTTTAAATTACTTAGGAAATGCTACACATACCATTTTAACTCACCAGAGCACCGACCAATATTTAAGAAAAAAAAAAAAGTGTCATTTACAAATACTATTAGCATAGTTTTTTTCCCATGAAACCTATGGAAGGCTTTCTGTTGATCTCTACACATTTTGCTTACTGAGGAAATATCGATAAATTATTACTCAGTTGCACAGAGCAACCACAATTATCCAAGACAGTTGTAATCACCAATACTGAACTAAGGATCATTTTCACATATCATGTACAGGTCTGGTTATTTGATCGGCTAATGAGTCTTTACCTCTCCAATTGCCAACAACTGATCCTTGTAATTTTCAATAATAGGCAAAGCTGCATCCAGATCCTAGAGAAAAAAGTAAATTTGTTAAAATGGAAGAAGAAAATTAAAATTTCACAAGCACCTATTATGTGCCAGGCTCTATACTCAGGTTACGAGAACGTGACTTTTTATAAAGATTCCCACTTACACATTGGCTTCCGTTTAGGAGGCATTTCCTGGCAGTTAGGAGGTCTGACCTGGATTTCCTGGAATAGCTGAGAAAGAGTAAATCTATGTTTCTGCACTAGTAGAGAAAAGTGAGTCACCAGGTGGTCATTTTTGCATGCCAGCTCTTAGGATTATATTATATTCTCCCCTTAAATTACAAATAATTTAAGCTTCTAGTAAGTTTCTACACAGTAGTTCCATTGCTCTATTATTTTATTTCTTGTGTATCTATAGCCTAGCTTGTCCTATTTGTCCTAAAAGTTCAACAATATCAGCTTGTCTGTTAACTTCCAAAGTAGCTGTGTAGGGCTTGGGATTTAGCTCATTGATTCTACCGCCTGCCTCCCAAGTAGCTGTGTAACATGGGTTTCAACAATATTACCTTTTCCATTTAGGAGAATATCCTCTGGGAGGGTTCCCTTCTAAGGTAGGGAAAACTGTTTCTAGATAACTTTTAAACTACTTTGTGGATTTTAGTTTAGGACATGTAAATTGCAAAGTACTTCAGGTGATAATCAGAAGAAAAGAGAATTAAAAGGGAGATTAGATGAGGAGAGTCAGGGGCACACCTTAGAAATATATTCTAGTGGACTTGATGAAGAATTAATATTGTCATGAGAATCAAAGGGTGCATATATCCCTAGGTATCAGAGAAGAGAAGTTGTCTGACAAGCTGGACCAGTGAAATCATGTCAGACAAGGCTTTTTCCAAATCAAATATCCAAATTATGCCATATCTCTTAGAGAAGTGGGTATAATCTTTATCATCTTTATCATTTATTTTAGTAACTGTACAAATATTTTTAAGGCTACTCATATCTATCTCTTGTTTGTTTTTGAGACAGAGTCTTGCTATATAGTCTTGAACTCACAATGATCCTCCTGCCTCAGCCTCCCTAGTGCTGGGATTCCAGGTGTGTACCACTATACCCAACCACGTAGGTCTATCTCTGACCTCTTTTCTATTCCCATAAGGTCTTAAGTTCCTTAACTATAGGAAACCAGATAATGAGGACTGAGGCTTAACTGACATTCTCTGTGAGCACAAAAGAGAAAAACAGCAAGGTGTGCCTCCTTTAGCAACATGCAGGCATGCTAGCACGCTCCAGCTTCCAGAGAAGAGTCAATACAGCTGAGATCTGGATGTCTACCGGGGTACAAGAGGCAGATGAATCTTCTCTCAACCTAACTGCTCACTCCCATGTCTAAGTGAATACAAGTGATGTGAACCAAATGCTCAGGGCTCTTTGTCCATCAGCAGCAAAGAACCCCCTGGTCCCCTCATTTGAAATTATTCACAGGTAATAAACAGTAATAACATTTTTGGAATTGGACTATCAATTCCATTATGTAATGAAACACTCAAGAAATTAGCATTTTTGTGGCGCTAAGTCAGGAGATGAGCATGAAACACAGTTTAGTTACTTTTCTCTCGTAGCTTAGACAAACCTAAAGTTAAAGGTGAAAGGTTTATTTGGCATATAGTTCGTAGAGGTTTCAGTCCATAAACGGCTGGCTCCAAGGCAGGGATAACAAACAGGCCTCACAGAGAGAAACAACATGGCGCACACCAGGTAGCAAAGGTAACAAGGGCCCTTAGCAGCTTCCTGCCCTTTTATCTTATTCAGACCTAGTATGGCAGCACTGCACCCCTATCCTAGTGCCCTCGGCCTCGCCCCACCACAGGTTAATCACACATTCCAGAGTCAGCCACCTCTGAGAAAGCGTGAGGCTTTGGGGGACCTCCAGACACGAGCCCCACAACAGCTGAGTCAGTGAGACCATGTGTGGAGGGTTCCGTGGAGAGTGCAAACAGCGCACTCCGGCTGTGCTGCCTCCACTTCAGAGGAGAGACCACAGACTTGAGCTCACTGTCTCCTTACTGTATGGAACCTATGAATCCATAGTTTTCTTTTCCTAGATCATCTTTTGTTTTGTTTGCAAAAGCAATATGACAGTAGGACCAAAAAAATGTGGAAAAAGTCATCTATAATTCCAGCAGATTATCATAATTACCATCATTTCTGTGCTTTCTCTCCAGTCTTTTCCTTTATAGACTGTCTTTAAATGTGTGTTACTAGTATCCCATAAACTGTTATCCTGCTTTTCTCCCCATTATGATAAACATTTTCTATAAATGTATTTATACTACAAGTTAGCTAGTGATTCCTTTATTTCTGAAGCCCTAGGTGGTTTCCATTTTTCTCTATTACAGACAGTGCTGCGATGTACATATTCGTTTATTTGTTTGTTTTTTGGTACTGGAGATGGAACTCAGGACTCTGTGCTTGCGAGGCAGGCGGTGGCACCATTGACCTAAATCCCTGGCCCTGCAATGAACATATTTGTTAGAGAGGGTAGTGCTTCTCTTGGGTTATTTTCTTAAACTATAAAGTAGAAAAAGGAGGATTATTAGGCCAAAAGTTATCATTTTTAATGGTTTTTGCTTTATATGACTGTTACCTTTAATGTGACACTTCTTTGGTCTTCTGGTGAAAGCCCCTGAACCGGATGAACACCTAAGCATGGCAGGATGAACCCACTGTACCTAAACATAGAGGAAAATTAAGAGGAATTGTAGACTAGGAGAGTATGATGTCATTCTGAAGAACCAGCAGAAGATAATCTCTTTTTAGGGTTATATTAATAGGCTTTTTCCTCTTCACTCTCTAAAATAGGTCTCTGATATTATAAATCTAATATCATAACTGTGTGCATATTAACAATTCTTTATAAACTTAATTAAAAGTAGCACCTTTCTGAAAGTTGAATAATCTTTTTAAATTCTCCTGAATGCTCAGCAACTGCCACAAGGGCCACAATGTTGGCCTGAAAAAAAAAATACAGATAGTTAAGAGTCCAAAATAACACTCACAGTTAATATAAATCCAGTGAAATATAAATATTACCTTATTTAATCTATATAAACCTATGAGTTAGATTTAGAATGTAATCAAACAACTTGCCAAAGATCATTAGGCTTACGTGATCCTGAAATACATACATCTAATTAACTTGAAAGTTGCTGTATGTAAAAGTGTATTAATAAACAAACATTTCTGGCTCTATATTTCAATTTCTGAGAAGACCACAAAAAGCTAGTTGCAATAAATTTCACAAACACTTCCAAAAATAACTTTTCTTAACAAATCAAAATGTTTCAGAAAACTTTTATATCCCTTATCTCCAGAATACTATGAATTTTAAGGACTGACAAAGGGACCGATTTGTCCTGTAGCACTGATGACCAGGTTGGCTTCAGGAACTCATTCTGAATTCAGATTAATCTGTCTCTGTCACTTCACTAGCATGTGTCTTTGGACCAAGTAGTAATCTTTAGGCCTTAACTTCCTCACTTATTAAATGGGGGGAATGGCTGCCTATAAAATGGTAACTTCCTCAGAAGACTGTGAAACACCAAATGAAATAAAGTTTAGAAAGGGCTTAGGTCAGTGCTGGTACATGGTAAATCCTTAGTAAGTGCTACCTGATATTAATTACAGATGCAACATCACCACAGCATATATAAACATAGCATAGCTAAACAACATGGTACACCAAGCTAATATGACTTGATGTTAGTGGGAAAAATAAACAAAAAGTGGGCCATTAAAGATACTGACTTACCTTCTTGGCTTTCTCCAACACATCATCCAGATCCTAAAGTAAGCAAAGATTATCACCATTATTTAGATGAATAAGTAACTGCTCTCTGTGTACATATATCAATGCAGTTCAGGTACCAAGAATCACAATGTTAACAAGGAATGGGGTGGTGGAAAGCAAAAGCCTACACTGACCCATTTCCTATTTCCTCCTCCTCTCAGGAAGGCCTGGCTTCTTTTCCCACTGCGTTAAAATAGAAACTTCTTCTGTCAAATATAAAAGACTTTTCTCTTTCCTCCTCTTACTCTGCCCCTCAGCAACATTTGGAACCCCTCTTTTGCCTACTCTTTCTAAAATACCATGCTTGGCTTCTACAACACCTTTCTCTCACTGGTGGCTCCTGTTAGTCTCCTCCACTGCCCACCCCCCGTTTTTTGTACCAGGGATAGAACTTGGTTCCTTCTGCTTGCAAGGCAAGTGGCAGCCTTTCTGACCTAATTACCCTCTCCTCTTCTCTCTGCACTAGCTTTACCTAATCTCACCTGTTCTCATGGTTTTAACCATCACTATGTTGAACCCTCACTTTTTATGTCTGGCTTGTAACTCTCCTGAACCCATAACTCACATTTAAAAATGACCATATGACCTCTGTACTTGGATGGGATCAGGCTGTCCAATGTGTCCCAAACACAAGTCTGTTCTCCCCACAGCCTATTCCTGCTGCCCATTTCCCTCCTCCCCATACCTTGTTCTTCACTTACTTCAGTAAACAGAACCACTCTTTTCACAGCACGTGCTAAAAATCTGAGCTAGCCTCAATCCTTCCCTTTTTCTTGTTCTCCACATCTAATTCCTTAATATGCTCTGTGGATTCCATCTCTAAACTGTCATCCCTAGCATCCTGTGGACTCCATCTCTACAACGCATCTTGACTACATCTACTTCTCTCAGATTCTCCTGCTCTGCCATCCTAGTACTACTCAGCCCCTATCCATATACTGCAATGGCCTCCAACTTCCACTTCCCTCCTCTTGAAGCAGAGTGGCAGAAGTCTTGACATGGATATCTGACCTTGTCTTTCTCCTAAACAAAACCCTCACCTTTAATGGACCAACATTGCGTCTTATACGATCCAAATTCCTTACTGGCCTATCTCACTTTCCATCCCTCCTGCAAACTTCTCCAGTCTTGGTTTCATTCCTCCTCCTAGCTCATCCCGCTCCTCCAGCCTTTTGGTAACAAGTGGGCCAAATTCTGTCTTGTCTGGGGGCCGCAGCCTGCCTGCTTTCTTCACCACCATAACTCACCCTTTGCTTGGCTGTCTTTGTTTTCCTGGCCTTAAATGCCACCTCTTAAGAAAGTTTTCCCCTGAAACTAAGACACCTACTCTTCCTTCTCTATTATGTGTCTAGTTCCCAGTCAACCGTGCAAAAACACTTTATAACTGGTTGTGTGTATTCGTGCGCGTTCTTTCTGTTTGCCTCTCCCCTTCAAAACAGGGGCGCGCGAAGACATGGGGGGTGACCAATTCCTGGGGATAAACAGCTCAACCCCCAGAGGGTAGGAGAAGGGTCTCCAGAAACCAGGCACGGCAAATACAAGCTTTGTGGAGATCGACACTTTACTGGGTCAGAAAAATCAGCGTGGTAGAGGTTAAATAAGAAATCAGGCAGGTCAGAAAGGGCCCTAGACAGGGTCTGAGGGGAAAGTGGGGCTTCGGGCTAAAAGAACAGAGAAAAGAAAATCTGCAGGGAAAAGACGGAGACCTCCCCACTCCCCTAGGTCCCGCCTCGCCCTCACCTACGCTGTCAAAGTCCGGGTCGGAGAGGTGGCAGTGACAATCCACCAGACCCACGCTCGCCGCCCCCATGCCCCACGTCTACGGAGCAGGAACTGGAACTCTTTTGTGGCACCGCCTAGCGTTTCCGGGAGGAAGCGTGCTCGGCTGCACCACCGCGAACACGCCCTTCCGCTCCCAGAGTCCCCGCCTCCCGTTCAAACGGGAAAAATGGCGGGGGCTTCTGAGCAGGTTGTCATCGCCCCTCCGCTGGACGAAGCGGTAACGGCAGCGACAGCCAGCCAGGCCTCGGTCCGCACCACTCCCCGAGAGGACTTCCGAGTGCGCTGTACCTCGAAGCGGGCCGTGACGGAAATTCTCGAACTGTGCGGCCGCTTCGTGCAAAACCTCGGGAACGCTTTGCCAGAGGAGATTCGGGAGGCCGCGCTGCGAGACTTGCAGTGGGTACGGACCGAGTTAGCTGCTCCTTTATTTATCATCTCCCTTAGAAGAAGCTCGAGAATCGATAGGGAGAGAAAGAAACAAGTTCGTGTCAGCTGTATGCTCCCAGTTACTTAGACCAGTGCTGCGCGGTAGAAGTTTAAAGGCGAGCTACGCGTGTAATGTTAAAAGCTAGAGAGGCGAAATTAGCCGAAATAAAAATATTTTAACCCTGTATATCCAACATACCATTTTGTTTTTAACATGTAGAATAATATATAAACAAATGAGCTATTTTACACTCCTTTTTCGTACTAAGTTTTTCAAACCTGATGCCATATCTCCTTTCAGATGAAGTCATATTTTAAACCTTCATTACGTAGTGGCTACTGGCTGCTGTGTTGGACAGCGTGGGCATGTAGACTTTCTGAAGAGCTCCTGGAAAGGGTAATCCTGAAGTCAGTCCACTCGCCAGCTTTTGGTCTTTCCTTTGGCCTGCTTTAGAATATCTTATAAGTAGAGAGAAAAATGTTTTCCTTACAAGGCTAAAATAGGTGAAAAAGCTGTCTTGTTATAAACTTCAGTAAGTCCTTTATAAAACATTTCCTCTGCCGGGTGTGGTGGCTCACGCTTTTAATCCCAGCACTCGGGAGTCTGAGGCAGGAGGATTTCTGTGAACAGCCTGGTCTACATAGTGAGTTCCAGGTCAGTCTCAACTACATAGTGAGACCCTGTGTCAAAAACAAAACAAAACAAAAAAAACAAAAACATTTCCTCTTTCTCAAATATTTTGAAGATGATAGTTTTGGGGGGAAGACACAAGAAATTGACGGATTAATAAGCACAATGTATGGCGGGAAAGTTTAAAAGGTTACAATGCAGCTTGGTTGTGAATGTGAATGATTAGTGCAAAGAGTAAAAAAATAGAGGGTAAGTGGAAGAGTAATGAAAAAACACTCTTTGGGTTGTAATTCTGTACTCTAATTTTGAATACAGTGACTTCTATGTCATTCCCTCCTTGCAGGCAAAGCAAGAGTAGAGAGATGTGCCTCAGGACGTTTTTAGTAGCTTTTTTGGGAGAAGGCTGCAATATTAGGATTTGTTGGATTCTAGGTACTGCTAAAATACTTAAGATATATAATTACAGAAAAAGAATAGCTTGACCATTGTATCCTGTTTAATGAGACCCTAAAGTGAATGAGAAGATAAAGATTTGAGCACTTAGACTAAATATCAAGGAAATTCACTTGTGTTCTGTTTTAAGCTTTAATTATGTTGATGTGTATCTTTATCAAAAACTGTATAAAGCAGCATATATTTTAAAAGATAGTAGGGCTGGGGATTTAGCTCAGTGCCTGCCTTGCAAGCACAATGACCCGATTCAATCCCCGGTACCAAAAAAAAAAATAGTATTGGTAGGATTGTGCAATGAGTATTACCGATTTGTATTGTCAGATAATCCTTGCAAGTGCATACATATAGTACATATTTTACTTTATGAAAATCTTTTAAATGTAGAATATATAGGATATAGAATAAGTGTGCTTTAAGTCATAATCTCATACATTTGATTTATGCTTATTTTCAGCAATACAAATGGAACAAAATATATATTCATCTTAAAAATTTAAGTGATAGTATAGAGCAAAAGTTGTCTTTGAATTTCTCTTTCTCACCCTTCTTCTAAACTTCCTAAAGATAAGTTACTGTTTTGGAGATTTGTTGCCCACCAAGTAAACTTTCTATTCTGTCTTAGGACTCTCTCTCTTTGCTTATTTATTTACGTTAATAGTGTCATGCTGATTGCTGTGACTTGCATTTAAAAAAAAAAACAAATAAATGTCTTTGACTATGACTTGTCAGAGTTTTGTATAGTTACTCATTCTTTTTATATACCACATGATATGGATTTCTTTTAGTTTGGATTTTATTTTTTCCTCAATTTTTTATTATTTGAAACTGCTTTAATGTGCTTCATTCCATAGAGTTCATCCTCTGCATGTTTTTATGAGAATAAAATAGGATACGTTCCTACAGGTGAAATTGTTGGATAATAAGGAATCCATATTTGAAAATTTAATATTACCAAATTCCTTTAGTTCTTTATTTTGTAATATGTTAACATTTTTGACTTTACAAAAATTGATTAGTGTGGTGGCTATCCAAATATCCATAACCAAATCCACTAACTCTCAAAATTTGTTGCCCTTGCTATTTTAAAGCACATTTCAGGTCATCGCATCTGTACATATTTCATTGTACAGCTCTAAAAAATATATAGTTCTTTATAAAATAGACACACATTTTTCTTTATTTTAAGCATGTATATTTTTCTTGTTAAAGCTGACAGTCCTTTGGTAGGATATAAACCATTTGTGCTCCTGAAATTCAACTGAACCTAAATTTGTTAGATTTTATTTTTCTTTCATTTGTGAAATTCATTTTTTTACAAGAATATTTTAAATTTGTACATCAAGTTTCCTCAAGGGTAAGTGTAATGGCTATCAACTAAAATATTGCTAGAGTCAATGATTGAAATGAAATCTTTATTGAAAGGAATAAATTTACTACTAGGCTAGTCTGCTGTGCTTCTTTCCAGCTCACGAGTTTGATATTGTTATTTTGTGAAAACACTTGAATTCACTATTTAAAATTGTTTTTAGTGACTTGACTACTGTGAATTCCTTGCAGACTTTTGAATCAGCTGTGCAAGAGAATGTCAGCATTAATGGGCAAGCTTGGCAGGAAGCTTCAGATAACTGTTTTATGGGTACGTGACTTAACCTTTTTCTTCTGTCACCAACTTCTGAGTTACTTTTTGTAGGTAATTTTATTTTGAATGCTGTTTTTAAACCACATTTTTAGTACCACTTGTTTAAAAAATCCTTTATTGGAGGAATAAAAAGAAAGTAACCTATTAGAGTACTATTAAAGTCACAATCTGGTATATATGCCAGATTGTATATATGACACAGTAGGTATATATGCAATCTGATAGTTTAAGCAGGACTTGGATTTGTTTAATTCTCAAAGTTACCTTTGTCAATAGTTCAGTGGGAAATACTGTAGAACTTCATATCTTCAGATGAGGAAACAGTAGCAGAAACCAGTCATTCTTTCTAAAGCAAGTTATAGTTTGCAGGTTATCTGTAGAGTGAATAGTGAGCTACCTTTAGAAGTGTGAAGTTAAAGTATACAAGTACCATGCAAGGGATCAGATGAAATATCTGTCAGTCTTCTTCAAAAGACATTATTTCTGGGGGGCCAAAGAAGATTACACACTAACTAATGGCACTGATGTAGCTAAAGAAATAAAAGTTTTAGTAAAAAGAGAATGGCCAGTGTAAAAAGCAAAAAATTTAGAAGAAAGAGTGATGGATTGGTATGGAAACAGGCAGAACTCCCCAGTGTTCATGAAGCAATGTCTAGAGAAAGGCTACCTTGATGAGTAAGTCATGGACAGTGAGAGTCCTCAGATCTGACCAGCATAGCCGGACAGAAGTGCTTTCTGTTCAGATTAACCAGTTCTGCCTTTGAGCTCATTTCAACACCACTGAGAAACCCTCTGTGGTTATAATTTTTCTTCTCAACATTAACATAGTACTTGGCCCAGAAGATGTTACTGTCCAGCCTTTGGAATTGTTTTATTTGTCTCTTTGAAGTTACCAAAATTCACTGTGATTTACATATAAAAACTAGTTTTGCCAAATATTAACAGAATAATTCCTAATTAGTAGGAGAGAATATAACAAAATTAGCTAGGAATACTTTCAAGCTACGCAACTTTTCATTGTGTCTTTATGTGACTCTTGTTCTGTGAAGTTGCTTTGAAATTGCCTTTTTGCTCAGTCCCAGACTGCTTATAGTAACCTAATTCATTGATTTATAGAGTAAGAGATGAGTTTTTCAGTGGTTAATAGCCCAGGGAAAGAGGCTACTGATTTTTTGGAAACACTAATAGGTTCCTTTTTCCCTTTCCCCATGAAGGGAAATACTTGAGAATATTGCAGTGTAGTTTTAGTTTTTTCCATGGTTACTGTTAAATGACAGGTCCAATGCCAAATGCCAGGCACTAGGTGAAAACATGTGGCCCTTTCTATTTAGGAACTTGTTCATGGGAGGAAGTGATCAAAGAATCTCCCCACTCTTTGGAAAGTGGGAAAAGGCCTAAAGATAGGTTAAGTTAAATGCATTTAATAAATGGAAGTGTGCTAGGAAAAGAAAAAAAAAAAAGAGGAAGGCCATTTGAAAGAAAGAAAATAGCAGCTCAAGGACAGAGAGGTGATGTGTTTGGAAAATGTCAGAAGCGAATTAGGAAAACTAATGGCAGCTGCAACCAGAGATAAATTAAGGCCAGATTATGAAGAATCTGAGAAATTTGTACTTTATTCTGTAGGCAGAGGGTATCTGGGAAGAGTTTTGAAGCAGAATTACGTGAAAAGTTTCATGTTTGAGGAAGCTTAACTGCTGGCTGTCCGAGGGATGGGCTGGAGAAGGGAGAAATTCAAGGAGGTTAGACCTTGGGGAGTTATTGAAATAGTGCAGCAAATACAGTGAAGACTTGCACTGAGACAGTGGGACAGAAGGAGGTTCAAGAGATATTTGAAAATAGAATCTGTTGCTGATTTAGTACACAGAGGCAGTAAAGTTCACAAGGCAGAAATTTTTTGTCTGTTTACTGAGATTTCCAGGTGCCTGGGACATGAAGTCATCGTATAAATGAATGAAGGAATGGACAGATAGGAATGACCAAATGAGTGACTATATGAGTGAAACCAACCTCTTCTTTGCCCTGTAACTACCCTGAAAGGATTTAATTATAGGAAGCTTGTCAGGCAAATTTAAGATTTAAAATTGTGAATCCTTTGAAAACAGGGAGTATCATCTGTTTTTCTCATCGCTGCCTTCAGCTTAGCTTGGCATATAATAGGCACCCATTAAGTATTCACTAAATTAATGAATAAGTTTTTGCTTAATGTTCATTTATACATTTCGGTTTGCAGATTTATCCTTAGGTATTGCTATCTTATATAGAAGATTCAGAAGAGAGATTGAAAAAAATTGTAAAATAGAACATTCTTTTCAGGATAGTGATCTAATTTTTAATGGATATATTAAAATTTAGAGATGCTTATTTAAATGAGTATTAAAAGTAAGAAATAATTATCTCTCATAATACTTGCAAAAGATGTAATTTAGTTGGATTCAAAGAATATTTGTTACGTGATTGAAAGACTATACCTGATGTACTTCATTCATCTTTCTTGCTATATATGTATTTGCAGTTTCTCTCAATATTTCAAAAAATGTTTCAGATTTCAGACATCTTACTAAAAAGCTTCTGCTCAATGAAATAAATAGATTCATTTCTAGCATAGACTTTGACACAGCAGAACACACATGATGTAAACCAGTTAAACTGAGGACTTAGTTCTTTAGGGTTTGTAACTACTTTGTACTTTTACTCTTCAAAAAGATTTTTAAAAATAAGATTGAGTGGACCACCTGCATTCATTTCATTCAGCCTGTTTCATTTTTGTGCACATCCTAGTCCTGCTAAGTTAAATTTATGTATTTTTAACATACTTCTAGGTGATTATTTCTTTGCTAAAGTTTGAGAATCAATTTTAATCAGATGGCTTGTACCACTAATCACTTTTATTGGTCTTTTTACTAATAAAATTAATAAAAAGCTGCCCAGTGGAACAGTTGTGCACATACCACCAGTGATTCAAACCTCCTGGCAGTGACATACATGAATCACAGCTCCATCATGACTGTGTTAAAACAGGAAAACATCTGATTTTAACTTAAATGAAACAAACTCTAAAGTCACTGTGTCTTTCATCTTTTCCTATCTGAAATAGATACCCAGTTGAGTTTTATTTCAGATCTAGCCATTTTACTTGCTGTTACTGCTACAGCTTTGGTTTGGCACATGATAAAACCAAAATTTGTTAGTGTCTCTGGTGCAAAATGCCTTTTATAGTCTAGTTCTGATATACATATTTTTATCCTTTTTTCCTTTAGTTTGTCCTGCAGCCATTTAAAACTTCCCTGTTTCCTAAAGATACTGTGCTCTTACAAATAATATTTATTTTACCTAGAAGATTTCTCCCTATAATTTTTTTCTGACCATTTTCTCTCAGTGTATTTACATTTATGTTTGAAACTAAAACTTTACTTCTTTTATCCTACAATACAGGATTATGTAGTCCTGTTGTTTGTCTCCTGATAACATTCTGTTCTGACTTCTAGTGCATTTATCGAGTTGCAATGAACCTATTTAATTATTTCAAGTTTTGTAAATTTAGTTTATGGACATCACATTTCCATACAAATTCAATGAGTTTTACCTTTTTTTTTTGTTCTGAAATAGATTCTGACATCAAAGTACTTGAAGACCAATTTGATGAAGTCATAGTAGATATAGCAACAAAACGTAAGCAGTATCCCAGAAAGATCCTTGAATGTGTTATCAAAACTCTAAAAGCACGACATGAAGTTCTGGTAAGATGACTTTAAATTTTTATGTATATTTTACCACAGTAAAAATGTTGAAGTTTAAGAACCATATGGAAATAGATGACATTTTGTTGTCTTTATCTTTTCTGCCTCAGTACTGTATTTTGTAAGATGTTTTCCTGTTCTAAGTCATACAAAGTCTTGAACACAACTGATACTAAAATTGGAGATGGGAGATTGACAGTGACTTTTAAGATTCTGGGACCAGAAAGGAAATTTATCCTTCTTTCTTTTTTTTGTTTTTTTTTTTTTTTTTTTTCTGCTGAGGATTGAACCTATGGCCTACATCTCCCCAGCCCCAGAAAATTTATCTTTTTACCATTTTCTGCCTGTTGTTATTTTTGGCACATTATTTGTATATATTTGGAAGACTTTAAGTAGATGGAGAAAATTGTTTGAATGCTTGTTCATAACACTGAAATTTGCTCTATGAATTGTGTGTAATTTGTTTGGCTTTAAAAATCAGAATCATCAGGGTCAGAAGACCAGGAAGTCAGCTCCTTCAGCCTGATCATTTTAGAGATGGAAGAACCATAGGCTTGCTTCTTAAAATTACTGTCGATATCAGGGACCAACCATGTCACAACTAAGTCTTTCAGGTTTATTACCACTTTAGGAAATCTAAAATAAGCCCACAGCAAATCAGATCAAAATCTTCCCTTGCAGGGTGTGGAGGACGTTTGTTTACTGACAATGCTAGTGCCCCCCAGTAAGGAGTATGTGCTGCTTCTAGATTAATCTACAGTGTTCACCATTAGTTTTTGAAACTAGAATACTTGCCTATATAAATCTTCCAGTTGCCTCTCTTTCAGGCATTATTTTAGGGAATTAAGGCTTTATATTTACATCTAAAATATTTTAGATACTCTGAAAAAATTCATAAGAAGAATGCTTTATTTTTTTTCTTTCCAAAGTAGTTAGTCCTCAGAGAAATATCTCACTCCCTACTGTTCTAAAGTTTTTTCAGGAAAAACACTGACAGTATATTTACTCTCCACTGTCTTCCTCTTTCCTTCCTCCCCAACACCCCCTCTAAGCAGTGATTACTGTTGCGTGAAGTAAAAGTGGCAGGTGAGTTACCCCTGTACTAGTTAAAAAGTGAACAAAAAGATAAGCTAAGGACACTTACAGAGTCTTTTATTTCTTTGAACTCTTTGCTTTGGCTCCTGTTGATTTTAGGCAATAATAAGTAGGAATAATTCCCCCTTGGTCCCCGAGAGTGGGATCTGTGCCAGTGGTTCTTCTGGGTTTCCAGTGCACCACAGGATACACAGGCCCCAGTGTGCTGGTGTGGAGCATGGCCACTGGATTGGGGTGGATTTTCCAGGATGGGGTGGAAATAGGAATTCTGAGTTTTGACCACTTGTACTAAATGAACTCTTGAGCCGTAGTTCATAGTTTGGAGGCTACCTTGTACTTTACACACAGAATTCAATTTCTGTGCCTGTAATTTGGGGAATCTTTTTTTATTGTTGTTGCTGTTTCACAGTGTTTGCAGTAGGTGGCAGTATGATAAAAGAATATTCAGTAGCCTGTCCTAACCTTTTTCCCTCCCTTCCCTTCATATTTCAGAATCTTTAAAAAAACAACTTGGTCCCTTGAAAGAATTGTATTATGGCATTGACTACATATTTGCTTATATTACATGAAAGAAATCGAGGCATTAGATGATTATTAACTCTGTTCTGATCTATATTGTGTTTAGAAGCAGTACCGCCCTGTTGTACATCCATTAGATTTAAAATGTGACCCTGATCCAGGTGAGTCAGTGTTCATTCATGGTAAAAATGAAGCATCAGTTTGATTCTCATGAGTTCTTGTCCTCCTGAAGGTGTCAGAATTATCTTTTTGTTTGCTGTTTTAACTCATTCTGTCATCCATATTAGTTCTTCATTTAGAATCATGAGAACTTGCTCTAAATCTACTGCCTCAGAATCTCCACGCATGAGACCTGGAATCTGAACTCTATCCTAACCTAGACTCTTATAACATTCTTCTTCTCTAACTGCTCTTAGACTGTTCATTCTTTGCATCATAGCCAAAGATCTCTACTAAAACATTCTCTCATAGTGTCACACCCTTCAATAACCTTCATTGGTTTTGTCTTAAATATAGTCTAATAAAAACCATGATGTTGAATTTAGGAGCTAATTATATTCAATATGCCCTTGAAAACAGTTCTGTTTACATTTAGATGCATCCATTGAAAAGGAGTGTTGAGGGCCAGGGATATAGCTCAGCAGTGTCGCTCTTGCCTGATAAGTGCAAAGTCCTAAGTTTGATTCCTGGTACAGGAAAAAAGGGAAGGGAAGAAAAAAATTGGTACCAGCTTATATAATTCTATCAACAGACCTGGTGTTGCTAAAAAAAAAAAAGATCATATCTACTCTAAAACAGCTCTATTCTCACATTTAAAATTTTTAACAATTTTCCTAAGAAACCTTTTGGAATTTGTCTAATGACACTAATAATGCCATTTCTAAAATATTGGAGAAAAATAAAGATATAGTTAATCTTTTAAAAATCTTATTTGTACACCATAGTTATACTTGCAGCTTTGAATACCTTATTGTTGGATTCTGAGCTACTTTTTTTTTTAATGGTACTGGGTATTGAATACAGGGCCTTGTACATGCTAGGCAGGTGCTCTACCACTGAGCTGTGTCTCCCTGCCTTTTAAACATTTTGTTCGAGATAGGATCTCACTGTGTAGCCCAAGCAGGTCTCAAACTTACAATCCTCCTGCCTCAGCATATAAAGTAGGTGGGATCATAAGCATATGCCACCTCTTCCAGATTCTGAACTGTTCCTTTAACACAATATCCATGACCTAAGCCAGAGGGATGAACTAAGAGGGTACAAGAAGGAAGCCGAGCTTGGTTACAGCACAGCAGTCTGACTGAAAACTGACCGTGGCCCTCCTGCTGAGTCAGTTATCTCAGTTCACTAAAAATGGGTGGATTTCAAAATGTAGTGGTTGACGTATTTTTATTTTGGTTTTGGCCAGCATAAAAATAGTAATTGAAACTTATACCATCATAACATACTCAGGTATAACTTTGTAGACACAGTTAATTTTCTCTAAGCAAACTTGGTAACTTTATTTTAGGGAAAATAGATTTACTTGAACGATTCTTTGAAGGTACGCATGATTTTACTTTCACTATTCTGGTTATGTAGCATTAGTAGAAAAATCTGTATCATGGTTCTGATTTCAAAAATAAGTGAAAGGAGGGGCCAGGGATTTAGCACAGTGGTGCCGCTGCCTGCCTTGCAAGTGCAAAGTCCCAAGTTCGATCCCTGGTACCAATAATAATAATAATTATAAGCAAAAGGAATAATTAGTATATATCTTCTGGATACATCTGAGGTATTGTCATTTTCGTAATCTGTACAAACTTAGAATAACATGAGTTTGTTAACAGCAAAATTAACATAGTTATTAACTTCATATCTTTGACTACTTTGTTAAGCTTCGATGTCTTTACTAATAAAATGGTAAATTAATTTATTTAAAACCTGATGCTTTAGGTGTGAATTCCAATTCTGTTACTTAATATTACAGAATTTCCTGCTTGCTTGTTGAAGTTGTTTCATAAATCAAGGAGTTTTACAGACAGTAGCTAAAATGATAAGTAGTGTATGGGCTATACTATATAATAATAACATTATAAATTTCCCATTTGCAATAGTATATCTTACAGTATTACAATCTTACAATATACCTAACTAGTAAAATTATATGAAATTAGTTAAAATGAGGATATTGTATAAATTTCTGTGTATATAAAAATCTGAAAAAGCTACATGGGAAGCTATGTGGGAACTTAACCAAAAAATGTTTTTGTTTTTGTTATTGGTATAGTAAGTAATATCACATTTGTTTGAAAGCTGTCACTTTTAAAGGAGGTTGTCTGGTTTTTTAAATGCACGGCTTGAGCATTGTGTATAACACTGATTCACATAGTTATGTTAGGAACTTTGAGAGCTACAGAGATAAAGTAGACAAAAATCCCCCATTGATGGCTGAGGTCTGGGCAGCGGAAACAAGAGATGAACACAGAACAGAATTCTCTCATCTTCCCTAACTGCTTCTTTCCTAGTTTTCCCCATCTGAGTGGCACCTTCACCTATGTATTACATTAGCCAGAGTCAGTCTTTTATTATTAGTTCGTGTTTGCAGTGCATTGTGTTTACGTCCTTGGGTGGCGTTGGCACATGTACCTAACACATCTTCATTACTTTTCCATCCCTTTCCCTCCTTCCTCCCCTCCCTCCATCTCTTGGTCCCTTCCCATTTGAGACTGGTCATCTGCCTTGATTGTTTGCTCTGCCACCCTCATGTCCAGCCTGTTGATGTCTTATATGTCTGGGAACATAATGTCATACTCATCCACTTCTCTTCATCTTGCTGTTGTCACCTCTGTTCTAGGTCACAATCTCTCTAGCCAGGATTTCTGCAGACAGGAAGACCTTCGTGTTTCACTCTTGCTCTTTTCCATTTCATTCCGTATACATCAGGAAGAGTGATTGCATTTTAATTGTTTGAAATACTTCATACATTTGGGAAATATGGAGTATAACATAATAAACATCTTTGTACCTACCACTCTTATTCAGGAGTTACTCATATTTTGTCATACTTGCTTCAGATCTTTTTAGGAACTAAAATGTATGGGTGCAGTTGAAAGTTCTTTGTGCCACCACCATTCCATTCTACTCCCTCTTATCTCGGAAGTCAGATCACCATCCTCAAGTTGTTTGACTCCTTCCATCTATGTTTTTCTCTAAAGACATGTACCTACAATGTATGATATTTATTTTTAAATTTTTATATAAACTGTATCATACTGATCATACTATTTTACAACTTTTTTCTCCCTTCTATAATGTGACTGAATAGTATTCCAGGGTAGGAATAATATCACTATTTCACTATTTATCCTTTCCTCTAATGAGGAACACTTATCCCCCCAACCCTTTATATCTTTCTCTGGGTTTCTTTTCTTCTTTTCTTTCTTTTTTTTCTTTTCTTTTCTTTTCTTTTCTTTTTTTTTTTTTTTGAGTTAGCTTTTAGTTTTGCTGAGTTTCTCCACTGTGTTAAATTTTTCTGATTCCTTGACTTCATATCTTTAATATGGCCCTCTTGCTTTTACAGGTTTTCTGTTATTTTTAGCTATTGGAGTTGAACACTTTAATTCATTTAATTAAGTCTTATTTTTTAAGATGTGTATTTAACAGTACAAAGTTTTCTCTTAAGTTCCGTTTTGGCACATATCACAGGTTTTGACATGTAGAACTTCCTAGTTCAGCTGCAGCTATTTTTTAGTTTCCAAAATAGGAGTTTTGTTTTATCATTTCATACTTTATAGACTTCCATTGTATTGGTAGAATTTTCTTTAATTGTCCTGTCACAGTTCGAAAGCTGTATACCATTTCTATTCCTTTAGTATTTCATATAAAATTTGAACTACTCTACTAAAGTTCCATAATGAAGTATCGCATTAATTTGGCATTCTGAGCCTTCCTGAGAAAGTCAAGGACCTTTGTCTTCACATACACTGTATGTGCCTTCTTCCCCTATCTTCCTTGTTTTCCTCTAGAATTTTAATTCTCTTTTTAGAAAAGTTTTACAGTTACTACTTTGTACTCAGTGCTTAAATATATCAAATTTTCCCAATTCTGAAATTACTTTTGTTTCTTAATTCATGCCTTCCCATAGGTTACTTTTCTTTTTGCTAAAGTTCTTTAGTTACTTTAAGTAAAAATCTGTAAGTAGTAAACTTCTTATTTATCTTTAATCTTGAAGTTTGTCTTATTTACTTTTGTTGGTCATATTGAATATATTATACCATTATCTTTGTGCTTTTTAAAAATGGATTTATTGAGATATTTATATGCATACAGCTCACCCACTTAAGGTGTATAACTCCATGGCTTTTATTTTATTTGATCATACAACCATCTCCATGATAAATTTTTAAACATTTTCATCTTCTAAAAGAAATTTCATCGGGTGTGGTGGCACCCACCTGTAATCCCAGCACTTTTGGCTGAGGCAGGAGGATCGTTGTGACTTCGAGACCAGCCTGGGCTACATAGTGAGTTCCAGGTCAGTCTCAACTACATAGTGAGACCCTGTCTCAAAAAACAAAAAACAAACAAACAAACAAAATTTCACACTCTTCATCTGTTATCCCTCAGTCTCATAAACAGTAATCCAGATTGTGTTTCTGAACACTTTATTGCTTTGGATATTTTATATAAGTAGGATATGTGGTCCTTTGTGACTGGCTTTTTTCAGTTATCATGTTTTCAAGGTTCATTTATGTTGAAGCATGTGTCACTGCTTCATTTTTTTTATTCCTAAATAATATTCAATTTTATGGATATATATGTTTTATTTATCTACTCATCTGTATATAGACATTAGTTTGTATTTTTTGGCTATTAATGATGCTGCTATGAACATTTGTTTACAATTTACTGGTGAACATGTTTCCTTTTGAGTTTATGTATACCTGTGAATGTTATTGTTGGGTCACATGGTTACTGTATAGTTAGCTTTTTGAGGAACTGCTGAACTGTTTCCAAAGGGGCTGTAACATTCTTACCAACAGTGTGTAAGGGTTCCATTTCTCCATATCCTCAACAGCTTTTGTTAATTCTGTGTGTGTTTGTGTGTGTGTGTTGTTAGGGTTAGAACCTAGCTGTGGTTATGCTAGGCAGGTGTTCTACCACTGAGCTACATCCCAATCCA